CTAACTACCATGGACAACCTATGCCTAGAGCTAGGCCAGAGCCTCGGTGGACGTGATCTTTACATTTTTTGTCTTTTTCGTTTGATTTTTGGCATTCTACGACATTGATATCGTTTTCCAGTATTCTTTTGCAACTCACGGTATATTTTTCCTCATTTTACAACTATTTTCTACGATTTACAGTGTGGTTGATTTTTTTTTAAACAGTCAAAAATTCATGCGCGCGCGGATGTCATCCATATAATCAAATCAACATGGCCTAACCGATAATAAGTGGCGCTCTGCCCCGCCGACCGTTCCCAGGAGACAACCCAATCGCATTGTGATCGATCCCTGACGGAACGCACGACGCGAAATTAAGTTATTTTTACTATCAATATAGCCGGGCTGGGTGGGGGAGTCGGCAGCTCATGAAATATTCACGCGCCTGTGTTATTACTGCGTTATGTTGGGTTGGCTGGGTTGACTGGTGCCGCCGAGTGGAATAAGCTTCGTCTCCAAGCAGATGTTGGATGGCAAAATGAATGGTTACGTCCCTCTTGTTTAAAGTACAAACTGCCTCCTGGAAGTAATAACCCGTTTTGAATTGAAGACTTTGGCATATTGGTCTATCTACTATCTTGAAGTTCTTAATTAATAAACGGATTTTTTCACAGTTTGAGTGTTTTCGTGTCTTTTACATCATACTTAGATATTTTGCATCAAATTCTAATTATAACATCAAGGACCACACAAATGCAATTCTCGTGAGATCGAGAGAGGAGAGAAAGAAGGGAGAGAAAGAAAGGGAGGGAGGGGAGAGAGAGAGAGCAGAGAGGAGGACGGAGGAGAGAAATAGAAAGAAAGGGAGGAAGAGAGAGGGAGGAAAGAGGGAGAGAGAAGGAAAGAAAGAAAGGGAAAGAGGGAGAGGGGGAGAGAAAAAGGGAGGGAGAGGGGGAGAGGGAGGGAGAGAGAAAGAAAGGGGAGGAGAGGGGAGAGAAAGGGAGAGAGAGGGGGAGGAGAGAGATAGGGAGAAAAAAAAGAGAGAACCTTCTCTACTTCAACAGTACAGCACATGCGCACGTTTCACTACAGAGTGCGTTTCTCTAACGTATGGGGGTCGGCTGACATCATTACGTAACGCCACGGTTAATCAGCGAGATTAATCTGTCCGGAAAGCGGCCAGGGCACAATAGATGTCCTGAGTGATTACGCACAGGCTAAAGCACGAGATTGGGTCGGGTGGGGAGAGCAGCCAGCAATTTGATAGCAATAATATCATGGCAAAGCTGGAACCGCGGAAAGATTGAATCAATTTGGAGGACATCTATCGTATCCAGAACCGTGTGTATAGTTCTGATCCTGACTCGGTTACGGTTAGGATCCGGCACGGTTCTGGATAGTCTCTATCATAGTGACTGATGTGTTACGCAGATGTCTTGAGTGATGTCCTGAGTGATTACGCGCAGACTAAAGCACGAGATTGGGTCGGGTGGGGAGAGCAGCCAGCAATTTGATAGAAATAATATCATTGAATAGTTGGAACCGCAGAAAGATTTAATCAATTTGGAGGGCATCTATCGTATCCAGAACCGTGTGTGTCTAGTTGTGAGCCTGACTCGGTTAGGGTTAGGATCAGGTACGGTTTTGAATAGTCTCTACCATAGAGACCGTGCCTCTTTTATTCTATTACTGAATGGGTTAGCGTCAGGATCAGGCAATTTTGTTCTGCAGTAGCCTTATGTATGAAAGTATCATCCGTGCTGACAGCTTGAGTTGTGTCTTTTATATCGAAAACGACGTCGATGAAGGTTAGACATCCAAGTAATAAGATAAGCCAAAAAGCAGTTACTCAAGCAACTGGATATGATTCCAAAATCACCTCCAGTTGCTTGAGTAACTGCTTTTGGCGAAAACGACGTCTTTTAGATGATACTAAGACAAGAATAGTACCTGCATATTAGAACGGTATACATTGACCGGTATTGTCCAAGAATTGACAGTAACTTGCCCTTGCAGTACTTCTTGAAAGATGCAGTCCAAGAGGCAATTTGCCCTTGCAGTAGCCTTATAGATGAAAGTGTCATCTGTGGCGATAGCTTGAGTTATGCCTTTTGTACTGTGTGTGAGATGATAGTTGCTCTGCATCTTACTGGAGAACGGGCGATACTCTTTGAAAGATGCAGTCCGAGGTAGCAATTTACCCTTGCACTAGCCTTATAGATGAAAGTGTCATCCGTAGCGATAGCTTGAGTTATTGATGACTTTCGTCCCAAAAACAACGTCTGTTAAATGATAATGCACGGATAGTCGTTCTGTATCATTTTAGAGGACGGACGATATACAAGTTCAAGAATTGAGAGAAACTTTGCCCCTGCAGTAGCCTTAGATTATAGATAAAAGAGCCATCTCTGCCGATAGCTTGAGATATATCTTTTGTACTTTGTGTGAGATGATAGTTGTTCTGCATCTTCCTAGACAGCGGACGTTACTCTTTGAAAGATGCAGTCCAAGAGAGCAATTTGGCCCTTGCAGTAGCCTTATAGATGAAAGTGTCATCCGCAGCGATAGCTTGAGTTATGAATGACTTTCGTCCCTAAAACAACGTCTGTTAAGTGATAATGCACGGATAGCCGTTCTGTATCATTTTAGAGGACGGACGATATACAAGTTCAAGAATTGAGAGCAACTTTGCCCCTGCAGTAGCCTTACATGTATATATGAAAGTGCCATCTCTACCGATAGCTTGATTTATACCTTTTGTACTGTCTGTGAGATGATAGTTGCTCTGCATCTTCCTAGAAAACGGACGGTACAGTTTGAAAGATGCAGTCCAAGAGAGCAATTTGCCCCTGCAGCTTTATAGATGAAAGTGCCATCCGCAGCGATAGCTTGAGATATAACTTTGTACTATGAAAGACGTCTGTTAAAGGATACAACTGCACAGATAGTTGCTCTGTATCATTTTAGACGACGGAAGTTATTCTTTGAAAGATGCAGTTCATGAAAGCAATTCGCCCTTGCAGTAGCTTTATAGATGAAAGTATCGTCTCTATCGATAACTTGAGTTATGTCTTTTGTTCTGTGAAGGATGATAGTTGTTCTGCATCTTCATCGAGGACGGACGATACTCTTTGAAAGATGCAGTCCAAGGGAGCAATTTGCCCTTGCTGTAGCCTTATAGATGAAAGTGTCATCCACAGCGATAGCTTGAGTTATGTCTTTTGTACCGCGAATGATGAGAGAGCTACTGTTCAATATTAGTGCGATAGCAGGGCCGGAAAGTGTGGCCTGGGGGCGTCACTAATCACTGCCCAAACATGATTGCGACTTCGTTTTTCTCATCCAAGCTTTCTCTTTCATTTTGAGTTATGTCTCTACGCCAGAGATCGCTGCCAGCGAGCCATTAGTAACAGTACTCGCGAAGGTACAGGCCTCGAAATTCACTTTTCTTCCTATTGTCCCAGCACTGTCCCAAAACGTTCAATTGTTCCGAAGTGGGAATGAACTGTCCCAACCTGCTTTTTGACAAGTATTGTATGACTTCAACTTGACGTCGACTCTCTTTTGCATATTTTGCCTCCCAGGCGCACAATAATTGCAGAGTAGACAGCAAGTTTAGGGGGATTTTCCGGAGCCAAAATCCGGGACGCATGCCTGATCGACGAAAGTAGGGCTGGCATTCTGATGTTGATTACTTTTTTATTGTCCCAAAAATGTCCCAAAGTGAGTGTCTTATGTTTTTAGTTGTCCCAGCCTACATTTTAGTGGTCAACGGCCACTAGACCACCTTTAATTTCGAGCCCTGATGTAGATATGGTTTAGATGAAACTTAATTTTGTTGAGTA